CTCCAAATTGTAAGAATAAACTCCTGTTTGTTAAGGCCATCCCATTTGTGGTATATTTCTTGTCAGGGCAGCACTAGGTAGCCAGAACAAGGTCTAAGAAAGCATTGCCAATTAGAGGTTCTCCTGACTCCTACTAAGGAACAGATTATTATGCTTTTGTGTGGATGTAAATGGGAAAGTGATGTTCTTGAAATTGTCCTTCTAACTGGCTAAGGAAACTTGTTATCAAAGGTATTGCAAGTGATGTTGACTACTTCCTTTGAAGATGGTCATAAAATTCAAATTTGAACAAGTCAATTTATAATATTTTACTTAAATTTCTCTACTCACCTTTCCTTGGCATCCAAGAAGGCTTTGGCAAAAGGGTTGTACTTGATTTTGAGAGCTGTTATCTTGAGTTTACAAAGACAAGAAGTGTTAGCGAAAGTGGAATGTACAAGGCAGAGAGAAACCTTTGTCTTCACCTGTGAACTTCTATAAAATCAGAATTATTTCCCTCAGTTTTTAAAATTCGCCTTCTCCATGTTTCTTCCTATACTCCTGCACTGAATCACTCTTGCACCATCTCTGGTATATGGTGAAGATGGCAAACGTAGTGTAAAATGAACAAAGAAAAGGGCAAAGCATTAGAAATGATCAAAGCTTCAATGTGCTGAGCTTAGCATTCATTCTTTTATTCATTCATTCATTTTTCAACAATTATTGAATACCTACCAAATGTCAGGAATTTTTCTAGCCACTTGGTACACAGTAGGGAGCAGCACAGTTGTGACTCTTTTTTTTTTTTTTTTTTTTGTAGTTTGGGTGAAAGTTTGCAGAGCAAATTAGTTTTCCATTCAACAATTTATGCACATTTTGTTTCATGACATCGGTTGTAATCCCCTTAATGTAACAGCATGCTCCCCACTTCCTCCCTGGGTTCCCCATTTCCATTCATCCTTCTTTCCTACCCCTTCCTGCCTTCTGAGCTTTGTTTTGGGCAAATGCTGCCCTTTTGGTTTTGTAGGTTGATTGTTCTGAGGGTACATTCCTCTCTGGTGTTACTATTCACTTTATAGGGCTATCTATTATTTGCCTGAAAGTTGATCCCTGGGCCACTTTCTTGGGGATTCCATTAGTCTCTATCAGACTAGTAAGTCTGAGTTTTTTATGATTTTGAATTTTGTTCTACATTTTTTTTCCTCCCTCTCTGTCCAGGACCTTCTACTGTGATCTCAATCAGAACAATTAGTGGTAGTAGCTGGACACCATCTAGTTCTTCTGGCCTCAGGGCTCTGGAGGTTGTGGTTCAAGTGGTCCAGTAGTCCTTTGGACTAATTGTTTCCTTGAGTCTTTGACTGTGTTCACTCTTCTCTGCTCCAGTTGGGGAAAAATCAATCTTTGTATCTGAGATGGTTATCACAAGCTTTTAAAACCCCAGTGGCTACTCATCATAATAGGAGGTAGAACATTGTCTTTGAGGACCGTGCTATGCCTGTTGACCTAGAGGTTCCCAAGACTGTGGTCCTAAGTCCCAAGCCAGTGACTCATGCTCAAGGTATTTGGTTATGGTTAAGTTTTCAGAACTTTGCCCCCTGTGTGTTCTACTATATCTTTGGATATATTTGCAGCACATATGCAGAGAGGTGTGATCTTACTCTTAGGGAGTACAGTCTAGCATCAATTCCCTAACATAAATCAAAGACTAATTCTTGAATAATTGCTTACCCATTGTGCTATGTTAATGTTAAAAATAATAATAATAATAATAAAACTATCATTCCCATCCATAGTCATTTTTTATCCCTCTTTCTTGTTAGCAGCCATGAAGTCAGTCCCAATGCATGGGAACACCATGCACAATGGGATAGAACTCTGTCTTGTCCTGCGCCATCCCCACCATCGGCTGCAGATGCCATGGTTGTGATCCATAGGGTTTTCACTGGACGATTTTTCTTCCTGGTCCATCTTAGTCTGCACATTCCACTATTTAGCATCACAGCAGCATGCAAACTACCACCAGCAGACAGGTGTTGGCTACATCATAGGTGCACTGGCTGGGAATCAAACCCATGTCTCCTGCATGAAAGACGAGAATTTGACCACTGAACCACCACTGCCCTCCTTACCCCTTCAGCCTGCTTTGTTTTTCTTCAGAGCATTCACTATCTGAGATAGAGATAGAAAGAGAAAGTGAGAGAGAGGGAGAGATGTAGTGATAGGGCTAAAGACAGAGGTAGATGTTGTAGTTGGAGTGTGCCATCCCCTTGCTTCTGACTCAGAGAGACCCTACAGGACAGAGTAGAACTGACTCATAGCGTTTCCTAGACTATCATCTTTAGGGAAGCAGACCATCACATCTTTCTTCCACAGAGCAGCTGGAAAAGCCAACCTTTCAGTTAGCAGCCAAACACTTAAGGCTCTTTAGAAGTTGAGGTATATTTATTGTCTGTCTCCCCTCACTAGGATGTCTTGAGAACAGGGTAAATGTTTGTTTTGTTCATTGCAGTAGCCCTGCACCTAGAACAATATCCAACATGTGCTAACACTCAACAAACACTTACAGAATAAATGGATATTGGAAAAAAAAAAAATGTTTATGTTGTCAAGGGCCTGAGACCTGCTTCTCTCTGGTGAAATAAAGGAAAGTGAAATAAAAGCACAATTCTTTTCAACCCTAGGAATTACAGGAAGAAACCAGGAGAAAAAGAGAGGAGAGGTAGGTAAGGAATCAGAAATGTGTAACCTGGCTTTTCTCTTGGCTTTAAACCTGGAGAGACTGAAGTGCATTAGGTAAGTGAGGTTCCAAAACCAAACACACTGCCATCGAGATGATTCCAACTCATAGAGACGCATTAGGGCAGAATAGAACTTCCCCACAAGGTTTCCAAGTTGTAAATCTTTACAGAAACAGACTGCCTTATCTTTCTCCCACAGAATGTCTGGTGGGTTCAAATCGCTGACCTTTTGATTGGCAGGTGAATGCTTTAACCATTATGCCACCAAAGCTCCTTGTAAGGTTAGCAGGGAGCAAGAGGGCCATTTTATCCCACCCTAACACACTTCAGGGGGGTGCCTCTCAGGGTGCACCTACAGTCAATCTTGTAAGGAAACACTGTTGGCAGAGGGAGACACTGAGTAGATCTTCCTGGGCTTAATTCCTTTTGAGACCTGGAAGTACCACTTGCTGGAAGGTCACCACAGCCAGGCAGGGGTATTCAGAGAAAGTTGTCCAGCAGGTGCACCCAGGAAAAGCTACTGAATGCTTACCAAGTCTGCAAGCAGATAACAAGTTCCACGGACCACAGTCTAGGAGGGCAAGAAGCACTCAAGTAAAAAAGGGGGCATTGTCCTGGAGGCCAAAGGAAGCTGGAACATGCACCTCAACTCCTCTCCACTCTCCAGAGATTGCAAAAGCCACTCGCTTCCCCTCATAGACTCAGACTTCATTCAGGGAGAGGGAACAGCTATCAAGAAATTGAGTCTTTTTATACTGGAAAGACACCACCACCTGGGAAATTGTTTATCAGATATTTAGTTAATTCCTATTCCCACTGGCCTGCTGGAGATGCTCTGGCAAAGACCAGATTACTTATAAACAGCATTTTCTCTGCACATCTGGGAGGTGAATTAAAAATGCAACTCAGTTTCACCCCTGGGTGCTAAGGTAGTCATTCCTAACCTTGGATGGTCATCAGAATCCTCTGGAAGACTTTTCAGATGTCAGACAGACTGGGCATCAACCCTGGACATTGTGACTCAGCTGATGAGAGTCCAGAACCTTCATTTCAAGGCTTCCAGATCAAGGAATGAAGATTAAAGCAGCCACAAGATACCATTTTTGAAATCTATTAGATTGTGGAGATGAAAAAGGCTGATGATGAGTACTGATAATGCTGTGGGCATTTTAAAGGGATACGCCCTTTGTAGGGGGGCAATTTGTCAATGTCTGTTAAAATTCTAAACTCACACTCTAGTATAATTGCATTTCTAGACATTTACCCAAGCAAACAAGCTATAGTAGATGTACCAGGATATTCATTGCAGCATTATCTATAATAGAAAAATAAAACAACTGGAAATGATCACATGTCCATTAGTGGGGGACCGATTACCTGAAATACAGTCTACCCATACTATTGAATTCTCTGAAGTCATTAAAGAAAATGAGATAGGTCTGAATGTAATTACATAGAAAAATATCTATAATGTACTGTCATATTGAAAACAAAAATTTATTGCCTAATATATACAACATGAGCCAACTTATATAAGAAAGGCTATATTCACATAGTTGTTCATATCTGCATAGAAAAATGCATGGAGACACACACTTGAAACTATTACTATAGTATCCGTGTGGAGTGGTTGGAAGGTAGGAGGGAAATAGTATGTTTTCACTTTTTGTTTTTCATTTTGACTTTATATATTTCTGCACTATTGGTTGGTTGGTTGATTTTTAGTAAACATGTATACGTTTACATTTCTTTTTCATTAAGAAAACAAAGTTTAAGCAAAAAGAATCCAAACTTCCCCATGTGCTTCTGATGACCAACAGGCACAGGAATGCCTCAGGCGTGTGAATGGACCCAACATCCTGCTCCCCACAAGTTTACACAGAGGCTGCATTCTGTCTGCTCAGCCCTCCCACCAGAGAGGCTCAAGTCACTGGTGAGGAAGACCCCAACAGTGCTCATATATTAAAAATTAACAAACAGAACAGATCACATTATAAAAACCCAAAGAGGGTACACAGTTGGATCAGTTGTCACAAACTTGCTTCAAGAGTAGAAAAAATAGTGCCCTTCAGTCCCTGCCCTGTTTCACACATCCCAGGATATCCACCAGCTCTGTTTAGGCCATGAGTACATTA